CACACAACTTTCCTCAGGTGAGGAAGATGTAGAACCCACTCAGGCACTAGCTGTGCTGGATGAATGGCAGGCGGCAGCCTCTGACCAGGGGGACTCCGACAGGGATTCCACGGCCAACTCTGACCCTTGCTTCATAAGGGAACAGGGTCTGGGTGAGCCCCAGGACTCCATGGCAGCATCCATGGATAACCCACAGGAGGGCACGGAGATTTTCCTCGACAATTCGGGCCTCCAAATGTTTGACCCAAGAAACATCCGGCACCCCCGTTCGGAAGAATGGTCACCACCTGAGCATTTGGCAAGGTTTATGCACTTCTGGCTCAGAAAATCGCTGGACAAGGAAGTAAGAAACCGGATGAGATCCGAATGCCCTCGCCCTAGTCAACCAGACAAAGTGATGCACACCCCCGAGTTTGACCCGCTCATGACTACATTCATGTCCCGAGGGGGTCGGGATCCGCGCAAGGGCATAGAGCGTGGCTTTAAAGGAGCGCAAGACAAACTGCTAGATGCCATTGGGCCACTAGCCAGAATCATGGATATGGCGGATGAAGCCTATGAGAGTGCTGACACTTTTACCCCAGATACGGTGCGTGAATGGGCACGAGGTACCCGGGAATGGGCACAAAGGTGTTTATGTTTCCTAGGGAACACCAACGTAGCCCTCTCTTCGGAGAGGCGCCGAGCAGCACTTTACCGTATCGACGAAAAACTGGTCGAACTGGGGGACAAGGAATTAGGACCCTTAGCACAGGGTAAATTATTTGGAGAGGCCTTCCTTAAGGAATTAAATAAAAGGGTCAACATATTCACGTCCCTTAACAAGGCACAAACTTCAATGCGGAAAGTCTTCCGCGGTTCTCACACCCGTGGTGTTTTTGGAAGGGCTGGACGGCAGAGGGGCCGTGCCGACAGGCATTTTTGGCCATCCGGCCCCCGTACAACATGGACTCAGCAAATGTTCTACCCAGACTCATCTAGTCGACATAGATTCCACCAATTCAGGGGATCTGATCGTGGCCGAGGCAGCCGAGGACGCTCACGAGCAAGATTCTCCAGCGGTAAGTCGGAATCTTACTCTTCCTCTAACCCCCTGTCATATCGCAGGTCGTGTTTCTCTTTTTTTCCAGAACTGGAAAGAACTATCTTCAGACGCGTGGATAATCCAAACGGTGCAGGGCTATCGAATAGAGTTCGACTCGACCCCGATCCAGACTACACGGGCAGACGCCCGCCTCATAGACGCGGAACTCCGAGAACTTCGCTCCAAGGGTGCCATCCAACCGGCTCCGGATGCCACCGGTTTCTACAGCAATATCTTCCTGGTCAGGAAGAAAACCGGCGAATTTCGCCCCGTTATCAATCTCAGGGAGCTCAATTCTCACGTGGTATACCGACATTTAAAAATGGAAGGTATACATCTTCTCCGGGACTTGCTCCGACGCGACGACTGGTTCACTCGTCTGGACCTCAAAGACGCGTACCTTACCATTCCGGTACACAGAAACAGCCGTCCCTACCTCTGCTTCTTCTGGCACGGGATCCCCTGGCAGTTCACCTGTCTCCAGTTTGGCCTCAGCTCGGCCCCATGGTGCTTTACCAAGATTATGAAGCCGGTAGTGGCGAAAATCAGATCCCAAGGCATAAGATGCATCATCTACCTCAACGATATCCTGATCTTCGACGAGGATGCAGAGACTCTGCGGAGACACACGGAATACACACTACACCTTTTGGACTCTCTGGGTTTCGTCGTCAACCGTCCCAAGTCCGCATTGACCCCGGCTCAATCAGTTCAATTCCTCGGATTCGTAATAGACTCCACATCATGCACTCTCCACCTCCCGGCTACCAAAATTACGACAATCCGCAGGGAGATCCGGAAAGTCCTTCGTCGGACTACCATACCCCTACGATTACTGGCACGGATCGTAGGCCTTCGCTCCGCATCCATCCAGGCCATTTTTCCCGGGCCCTGCACTACAGGGCCATGCAACGCCTCAAGGCAAGTTTCCTTCGCAGACAACCGACATACGACCAACCGGTTCCTATGTCGGTCGAAGTTCGGGAACAACTACACTGGTGGCTGAACTGCATGCAAGCTTGGAATGGCAGGGCCATATTCGGGAACCAGCCAGACTTCGTGCTGGAATCGGATGCCAGTCGTTCAGGCTGGGGAGCAACAGACGGAAACACGTCCACAGGAGGAGTCTGGACTTCCGAAGAGCTCTCGATGCACATAAATTGCCTGGAACTCTTGGCCAGGTCATTCGCCATTCGCAGCCTGGCAAAGGATCGATCCAACTGCTGCATCCTACTCCGCATGGACAACGTCTCAGCGGTCAGATACATCAACCGCCTTGGAGGCACTCGTTCTCGAACACTGGCGGATCTCACGAAAGAGATATTCGACTACTGCCTACCACGCAACATCACCTTGTTGGCAGAGCACTTACCAGGAGACTCCAATACGACGGCGGATTGGTACTCGCGCCACTGGCGGGACGCCAGCGATTGGCAGCTAGACCCTCATATTTTCGCGCTACTGGATGCACAGAGGGGACCTCTCTACATAGACCTTTTCGCGTCCCGCAACAATCGACAGACAGAGGTTTTCTTCAGCTGGCTCCCAGACCCGGAGAGCCTCGCAACAGACGCTTTTCTCCAACAATGGCCAAGGGACAGTGCCTATGCATTCCCTCCTTTCGCAATGATAACGAGGGTCCTTCACCGGATCCGTCTACAGGGAGTGAGAATAATTCTCATCACGCCGCTCTGGCAGAGCCAGCCATGGTATCCGGACCTTCTGGAACTTTCAATCAACGACCCCCTCCTCCTACCAGATGCCCCAACCATCCTCAGGAACCCATTGGGCCTACCTCACCCACTAGTCCTGCAGGAACGCTTGCCCCTTGTGGCCTGGACTCTTTCCGGGGCTCCTGGAGAACCGAAGAATTATCGCAGGAAACTAAGGACCTGCTATGGGATTCATGGGCACCAGGAACTAGGAGGTGCTACTTATCAGCATGGCACTCCTGGACAAGTTGGTGTGTGGGACGGGACCTCAATCCCTTTACTGCACCTACTCACTCCATCATGAATTTCCTGACTTCACTTTTCACTGCCGGAAAATCATACCGTTCCATCAATGTGGTACGGTCAGCCATCTCAGCGGCTCATACTCCGACACAGGGGACTCCTGTTGGTAAGGACCCGCTCATCTGCAGACTTCTCCGCGGCATGCGCCTACGGCGCCCCCCGGAACCTAAATATTCTAGACTTTGGGACGTTGGTGTGGTCCTTCAATTCTTACGAAATTGGCCTCCCAACGAGAAACTATCACTCCGCCAGCTTGCCGCAAAATTCACCCTCCTGCTCTGTCTGGTTTCCTTTCGACGGGTAGCGGACGTACGTGCCTTTGACGCCAACGCGTTTACCTTCTGTCCGGCGGGTGTCACCTTTTAGATCTCACGTCGTACTAAGTCCAACTCTCACTCGGTTTTCTACCCTTTCTTCCCTTCTGACCCTCAACTCTGCGTGGTCTCAACCCTCCGTCAATACGTGGAAGCCACCGCGACGTTGCGGCAGCCTTCCACTCATCAGCTTCTCATCTCTTACGTCCGCCTTTATGGTCCGGTTTCGGTTACTACACTGGCCAGATGGGTTAGATGGCTACTATCCCTTGCCGGTATTGACCAAACTTTTGGAGCACACTCCGTTCGTGGGGCAGCGGCCTCTTCCGCTTATGCGGCAGGCGCGTCCCTTTCGGACATTTTACGAGCGGCGGATTGGACCAGAGAATCTACCTTTAGGACATTCTACTTTCGCCCTCTTGATAATCCGGCGTTTGCTTTTCTTTCACAGCGTTGAAATTGCAAAATACGAAGCCTCCTGTCATGTGATAAAATTGAAGATTATGCTAGCTTTAGTGTACAGATAATCTTAATTTTAATAATGACAGGAGGCGAGTATTTTCCCTCCCTGTTCTCTTTCGTTCTTCCCTCCCTTTCATTTTCACTTCTACCTGTTACTCTTTGCTCTCTCATATGTTGGTATAATACCTGACGCGGTAGCTCTTGTTTAAATGCCTTATTTACATTCGCTTATAGAGCTATATATATATTGTCTGGGTGGGATACTTATTTAGCACCACTAAGGGAGGACGTTTAGTTTATTATTATCATGGTACTAGACGATATTAAAGTTGAATTACGGGACAGACATCCTTTGTTTTATACAATCACTTCTGGACGCTAACGCACCTTATACTCTCGTTTCAGCTTAACCAGAAGCTACACGGAATCATTAAAGTCTCCATACAAGATGTCGTCATCATCGCATCAGGAGATTTATCATCAGGTCTTGGTAGACCATCGTTTGACAAGGAGACGCCTTCGTCTGCATTCTACCTGTTCCGGCTCAATTTATTCTGATTCAGTTTCCAGTTTCTTACTCTATGGACTTCTCAGTTGTTCTGTTATCTTCTACATTTATGAACTTGTGATGTCACAATTTTTAAAGAGGAAATGATGTCATAGGTCACACCTCTTATACCCTATTCTACGTTGTGATTGGTTAAAAGTTTTGTCACTCTTTTCTTTGCTGCTATGGAGATAGTAAAGAAAGATTATGCAAAATACTCGCCTCCTGTCATTATTAAAATTAAGATTATCTGTACACTAAAGCTAGCATAATCTTCAATTGTAGTCAAACAGTTAATTGAGGAATTGCTCATTTTTGTAAAAAAATATAACCTAGCTTTAATAAAAAAATATTTTTTGGCTAGACTTTTGGCTAGACTTTTAAAATGATTTAACAGAGTGAAAAATATTTTAATATGGATATATATTTTTTTCAATATCTTAATATTTTGGGGAAAAAAATAATTTTTCTATCCAAACATAACAAATCACTCAAAAAGCTCATCCAAAAATATTAAATTGAGGCCTTGGTGATTTCATTCATTTTTTTTTTATTTTTTTTAACAATTAATCTATTTTGTCCTAAAAGTTGCAATTCTCCTGTCAATTCTTCACAGTTTAGTAAATACACTCCATTGTCTAGCAAATGGCAAAGCGGTTTATAAACAAAAACAAATCAACATAAATGTTTTTACAGATTGTGATCTTTGCCGCTTAGAGCACCCATTAAATATTGTAGAAGGCAAGTAACTATTTTTCAAATGTATAATGAGGCAATTATAAAAGATATAGAGGTTACGGTGTTACATAAAATCCAGCATTTTTGCCCATGCATTAAAAGCTCTGCTTTGGTCCTGTTCTGCCCCTTATATTTTTAAACTGATGTGTTTGGGGGAGGCGTACATATATATTTTTCAGGTTTTATCTGTGGCAGTTGTGATGTAAACAAGTCGGATATCTTGAATGACAACTATACCATTCCATGTTGCTATGCAACTAAAAAAATTATCATGACCAGTAAACGTTGAAGGTTTGTGTAAATCTCTCCGTCTATGCTTTGTGTTTACAGATGCATAAAACATAGATATGATTGATTTCATATTAAACTACACTGACATATGGTTTCACATGGACATTCTGTATGGCATCTCAGGCCTAGTACAATGAGCCATAAACCCAAATCTAAACCCGAGCAACCTGTTAATGCACAAAGTGAGTACCTGATTCTTGTTTTAATATATTGTAGCACAATAATAAAGGGGGGAGGGTGGTGTTTTGGGGCTGTTAAAGCACACAAAGTTGCAATGGAGAATAATGTCTATCCAGTTATAGAGAGTAAAGTTTATGCACTGAAGTAATGCAGATTTGTTTCCCTCAAAATTTAGTAAAACATTTACTTAGAATTTTTAGGATTCCACCCTCAAGCTTCAAGGTGAATTAACCACAGAGACAGCCAAAACAGTTTCCTAGGGAATGTAGGGAGTTTGCTGAGCCATTTCAAAGCCAGAGTATTCCTGGAGTCTGACAGCTCCCTGCTTGGACTCCAAAGTCATCTTCTCCCCCCCAAAATAGGCAGGTTTTGGGTCAAGAATTGGTAAAAGTGTGAACAAATAGCATGTAGTCCTAAACATATGTTATTTAACCCCTTAATGGTAATTACGGTTTATTGTCTTAGTCATCTGTCACAAAGGGTTAAAAAGCTCCTCTCTAGATCTCTGAGATTGGGCAGTGTTTTACCATAGGAATATGTATGTAAAGCCCTTCCCACATAGGTACTTTCTCCCATTGCTTTCCTTGGTGAAACCCAGCATTAATTGTGATATCTCAGCCACTTCCTGATTTAAACAGACATTATTCTCACAACACAACTTTAGCTTAATAAAGCCATTTTGCTGTATCAATTAGGCCCCCATAGTCTCATTGCTCAATTATCTGCCATTTATGAGTTAGATCACTTAAGGCAGCCCTAGTTATACCTCTTATAACCTTTTGTTTGTTTTATAAATATCCGTTTAATCATACCGACATGAACATATTGAAAACCACTTCATCTGTTTGCCAACCTATCAATGTGGCACCAAATTCAAGTAATTAATCTGCCTGTGTTGCTGTATGGGCAGCACTCGACCCATCTTTAGAGACAAGGATGAGTGAATGTAACACATTCTGTCTGTTTGCCACATTCGTTCAAAGCAGTTTATGGATTCTTATACTCTTATGTATTCAGTGGCTGTTAAACATTTATCTGTCTGTAATACAATGGTTCTGTCCTGGCATCATTTAACTGAGTCCACACTGCTAGGAACAAGTGTACGATATTTATCAGTGCCCTAGGCAACTGCCCACAAAATGTATAATGGGAGAAACTGTGGTACTGGACGGTCTAATTAGGTTTTGCGGAATGCATTTTAAAAGTACTTGGGTTTCCTTAAAGAAGACCCCCTAACACAGAGAAGGACTGTGAGTAGACTGATGGTGGGACGGCTGTGATGTAGTAAAACCCTTTCAAAGGTAGCTACAGTTATATGCAAAACCGGCACATAATTGCTTAGTGTGAATGTGATGGCTAGGTTTATGTTTACCTTAAAATCCCCCGTGTTAGAAGTTTTAAATCAGAAAGGCAAGTGGTACAAAGTTTTTATTTACTCCCCACAAAAAAGGTCACTAGTTACTAAGCAACAGAACAGATGCCAATGCTGGTAATTACACTACAGACTAGGGCGATAAAAATGTAGGCAATCAGTTTTATGGTTGATTTTAAACATTGGCTTAATACAAAACAGGTTGACAACTATGAATTTCAACTGCAATGTTCCACAAAGCCTTCATAAAAAAACATAGACAATGTGTAAATGTTTCACGTGGAATTTCAAAGATATTAAACTTGTTTATTGTTTTCACCTAATCCGATCATACATTAGTAGGCTTTCTATGCAACCCTTTGGATCTTTAAACAGATCATTGTAGGCTATTTTGACATTTGACTTCTGATATTTTGTTTCCAGTCATCAAAAAAAATCTGCAAAAATGGTTTAGGCACCGGTAAAATTTAATATTCTCACCACTGTGGTGGGGGATTGCGAAATGAATTAATCACAAAAAGGAACAATTGTTATATTTCCAAATAAAGCTGGAGAATTGACTAAATGGATTTAATGTTGAAGGATAAAACCAAACAAACATAAAAAAGACATTATATAGATTTACGTAAATCAAAATGCTTTAATATAGCTGACTATATCATGACTATAAGCCACATAATGTTTTGTATCCACTACATAACAAATTAAGTAACAGCCTGGTACAGATATATCTAACCAACGCTCCTGCAGTTGTGAGTGGAATTGGCATCATGGGATACGTAGTCCATAACAGCTGCCGTGTCAATATTTAGATGTCACTGGTTAAAATGTGTGCCAGTAGCATAAACATCTGTTTTTCCTCTAGGTACTTTTTTCTGTAAGCAAAGGAATATTTAGAACAACCACAGCCTTGCTTAAGTAAAAAGATATCGAGCAAACAGCAGGGTTTGTTTTTTTATAACCATTATTTTAATTATTGTATTAGCGCTAGATGGATCGCAAACAAAAAACATCTTGGCGCACATTGATAGATGTACTCTCCGTGGTAAAAAATTATCGTGCTAATAATTTAACTAATGTACATGTTTTACATTTTCAGTTGCGTTAATTGTAAGCCCTGGTACCAAGGATGTTCTCACCTTGGTTGAGAAATCGTAACTTCTAGACTGAAATGTATGCTGATACAACTCTAACAAGGTACGGCTTCAAAATTATTTTTTTCAATATTGGTTGGCAGGATAAGGCAGGCTGAGTTTATTATTACATATTTGGGGTGCTGCGGGGGCAAGGAACAGAGTAGGAATTAGGAAGTAGTGTATTTTCTGGTCTGGTTAGCTCTCATTCACACTGGATATTGTTGACTCGGCTTTGAAATACTTGGCGTGGCTAAGTCACTAGTGAACAGTTAGTTAACTTTGGCTAATTTTCCAAAAGGTTAGAATAAGATGCCAAAAAACTTTATCAAACTCATTACCTAGAAAATAAGTGGTTAATAAAAAAAAACCTCCTTAAGCTGTTGTTTTTTTGTTTTATGGATTGCAGTAGAGGTGTCATGTTGATCTCCCCAGGTATTAGTATGTGAAGAATGAAATAACTTAATCCATTAAGTGAACATGCACCAATCAGCTGTGATACGACAGCTGTCATTCCCTTCCCAAATCAAATTAAATTAGGTTTACGTACTATATTGAAAATGGGGACAAAATTGACAGACTAATTGCATATTTTAGGACTGAAATAGCCAAACTATCCTGCTCACCTGGTTTGTCTTAAAATTCCCCTTGTAATTCTCCACAAGTCCCAGTCCTGTGAATGAAGAGCTGTGATTTCCATAGGCAGGGCACTTCATATTGATTTATCAGGTTTTAAAGCATATTAAGGCCCAGTGCTGGGTAGTTTACACATGATTCCTTTGCTCAGATATGTGCAATAAATGGGTTATCCTATTCATAGTATGGAATAACAATGTCTTGGGAGGACAAATATCATCCCCCTCCAAATCTCATAATCAAGCCATGAACATTCTTCCCCAAAATCTGATATGAGTTTAACTCTAAATTGCGTGCCATTATACACATTGCCAGAACTTACAGAAATTTAAAAGCACACTCTGGACACCATAACAACTTAACTGAAATGTATTTGTTATGGTGCCAGAAGATCCATGGCACTGGCTAACCTTTAGGGGTTAAACCATTCTCAAACTTTCCAAGCCTTCCATTTTCTAGAAAGCAGAGGTGCGGAGAGACCCCGCGCTGGGACACAGATTTTGGGGTTAAACTGTTTGAGAATGGTTTAACCCCCTAAACGTGAGCCAGCACCAGGGACCTCCTGGCACCATTATAGATTAATTTCGATGAAGTTGTTATGGTGCCCACACTGGTCCTTTAAGAGTTCAGGACAGGAAAACTTAGTTGCATGTTTTACCATCATATATTCTTTAAAACCAAGTGACTACCAGCTAGAAGGTTATTAAATCATTATTACTTTAACTGGGACAAATGGCACTGGCTACAGTCTAACACTAAAATGTTTGACTAGACATGTACCATATAGGCTGTGCAGAGCAGACATAAGTCTTTGCAGATACATATCATGTCACACTGACTACTACCATCACACGATTAAGGTGCCCACTGACAGTGTCTCTGCAGATTCAAAGTGATTTTATAAAAAATAGCTGAATTGGAAAAATTCTCCAAGTCCGCTATGATTTATTCAGTTTGAATTTCAACAATTCACCCTTTAGTGAAAAAACCTTGAGACGGTTTGGTCAGTTGGCAATGTCCGTCGAGTGGTCTCGCTGCAGGTGGGTAGCAGAGAAATTAAATTATCTATTCTAAATGGGATTCGTTTAAGAATGCTAGTTAATCTATGGATTGCATATAAAGATGAGACTCTCTCACTGTAAGAAGCAACCGGAGCAGCCTGCTTGCCACAAACCGTGTACGTAGGCTCCCTGACGGGATAAAATGTCAAACTGCATGCTAATTGTAATATTTGTTTCTATCAAGAAAGCAGTCTTTTTTTCAAATATTTATACAAGCCAATAGAATATGGACATGTGGAAAATTTGTCTGCATAAAATGTGTAAATCGATAGTGGAACAAATTCATTCCAAATTGATCTTGCCTGTCGACTCCAAAGGTAAAACTACAGGCAAAACGATTCAAAGTAGATTTGTTCAACTATTATCCGTAATTTCATTCTCATAAATAACTTAAAAGGAATTTTTGCACATATCAATTAGAATCTTCCCTTTAAAAGGGTTAACATTTAGAAATAAATGCCAGTGGGTACATGTAATGTATTAATGCTTTGCCATCACTTTAAAAATAACATTTTATCTGTGCAAAGTCAACCAAATTGCTAGCAAATGTATACATTCAGTTTTATTTATGTATTTTGATTTTAGCAGTTACCTGCCTATCCGGGACATTGAAGAAAAAAAAAAAATGACATGGCCATTGGAAACATTTAGGCAACTTAAGGCAGGATAGTAACACTTCTAATCATTTTACTGCCTACAGAAACCTTCCTTTTTTGTATAAAAATGTTTGTTCTAGCTAATTCTAATAGTGGAGCAATTGCCATGGAAACAAATGGAATGTTTCTGCTAATTGATTCACTTTTAGAACATTGCTTTTATTATAAGAAATAGCTTGCATCCGGGACGTGGCAAACGTTCGAACTGGTTGTGCGTTTCACTGAGCATCATAAAAGTGTTTATTTACACGATTTCTTTAGTGTTAGGTGAGAATCAAAACAGAATCTGTTTACTTGGATCTTCTTTAGTTTTGTAAACATATTACAGAAAACACAGATTTTAAAGTAACACTGCAGCTTATGG